CCTCGGCGCCCGCGGTACGCAGATCCGCGCGCCTCCCCGGCCGGGGCAGCCACCCTGGCGGGGGCCGCGTTTCCGAAGCGAAAAAGTGACTTTGTCCAGCATCGGTTTGGAGAATGCGGATTGTAGAGTGGGGCCGGAATCCTGCCCGACGGGGGTCTGCTTTAGGAGCACGAGGGTAGGCTGCTCAAGGTCTGCGCAGGAAGAGAAATCTCAGCGACAACGGGCACCACAACGACAACTGTTCGACCCGTTAAAGAGCGTGCTGTGAACTCCGCATCAACTCACGTGTCAACAGATTATTTATTGGCTGTCCACTCCGTGCCGCGCTAGCAGGGCGGGGAACATGGTGAGAGGGCCCCCTGTGGCCTTGATGGAGCCCCGGGTCTCCCTGGGGGAGACCCATGTGGGGCCACAATTAACGGTCCAGGGTGATCCCCGGAGTATGCCCGTGGAGCCGGGGCGCTGCTGCTGGCAGATACTAACTGAGGTGCTCCAACGAAATGTGACTTGGGTGCCCCAGCAGAAGTGGAGTGTATGGAGTATGAAGGGTAACGCTGGGGGGGGTCACCCAATCCTGCTCAGGCGGGTCAGGGATGGCTTTCCAGCCGAGGTGACTCTTGGCCAGAGTTGAAGGAGCATAGAGTTATTCAGACAGATGGGGTGGAGGGGTTAGGGTGATCCAGGCAGGGGACACAGCACATGCAAAGGTGTGGAGGTGTAGGTAAGTGTTGTGATCTGGGACACCACGAGTGTTTGAGTCTGACTGGAGCGCAGGGTACAAGGAGGGGAGGACCAGGACGATCCAACAGGGGCTGGGTCTTGAAAGGTCTGGGGTGCAAGAGAGCAACACTGGATGGGGGTGGAGGAGGCAGCGATGGTTTCACCCAAGAACAGCATCAGAATGGAGTCTGAAAAGATTAATTAAGAGTTCTTCTCTTATTGCAAAGACATCCCAAGAGCAGGAATCCTATTCAGGTTTGCAACTTCCTAGTTGGGTGCCCTGGGGCCACTCGCTCAACTCCCCTGAGCCTTGTTTTCCTTACTTGTACAGGTAAGTGACCTGTGGTGAGGATTCCTAATATCCTACTGTTTCCTTAAAGCTGGGGTTCTAGCATCTGGTGAAAGTTGAGGCCCTTTTCCCCTGGGAAGAATGAACACACTTAAGCCCAGGCACAGCGCTGTATGTAAGGGGGATCCCCTGGCTAGGAACTCCTGGGTGAAGTGTGCCAACTCTGTGCCTCACAGAGGCAGGAGCGGCAGGAGCGCAGCAAATGTTTGCTGCCAGATGAGCCTCTCTCTCCCCTTCACTCCTGGGGACCTCTCTCACAAAGGGATTCTTCAGCCTTTGCGTCTGGCAGGTGTCTGCCTCCTGACTTGGGTGGGCGGGTGGGGACAGCTGCTGTGGTCAGAGAGGGCTCTGTCTCCCTTTGCAGAAATGAAACTGTACTGAGGTCACGGGGTCACAGCAGAAACACTTGGCCCCTGGTAGCCTGTCCAGTCTGCTGTGCCTTCGTTCACCAAATGAGGAAACTGAGATCCAGGGAGAAGTGGGGAAGAGGGGAAGCTCTGGCCCTGGTGGGAGTGGTCAGGAGACCTGGGCTGTCATCCCACCTGTGTGGCCTGGGACACCGTCCCCTGATCCTCCACTTTCTTATCTGTAAAGCCAGGATAATCACACCTCAGAGGGCAGGTGTGAGCATTCAGGAGAAGCTGGCACATCGTAGTTGCCTACTAGTGGAATTTGACTCTATCTGACTTATTATTTGTGATTGTGTCTAACTCTTCTCCCAGACTGTAAATTCCTGGAAAATGAAAGGACAGAAGCTGTGTTTGTTGGGGAGAGTGGGGTAGGGACAAGAGACTACTATTTGTTCCCAGCCCAGACACTCAATGGTTAAGAAAACAAATGCAGAGCATTTAGACAGGATGTCTCTCCAAAGGACTGATTTGTGCAGTAGAGGATATGCAGGGGTGTGATAGGTGCAGGACTCTACCTTTTAGAAGGTGCCCTCACATTCCCTGCCGTGCCTCCAGGATTGCTCACAACACTAGGGCGCTGCAGTGCCTAAAGTCCTCCGTCAGAGAGGTGTAGATTCTCAGGCTCAAAGGGAACTCACTGAAATCCATTGCTGTCTCCACCACAGCACAGAGTTGTACCCGTTGTCCTTCCGCACATCCTTCAGCAGATCCATCGCTCACCTGGCTCACCCTCCCAGGCCCCAGCTACCTCCACGTCTCTTCTCTAGTCCTGCCATCCTGCCCTTCTCAGCGGGCTTCTACCCTCTGCTTGTTGCATTTGGCCAAGCTCATGGGGGATCCTGGGGAGGCCTGTCCAGGCTGTCTCCACCCCTGCCTGGATCATGGCCTGCCTTTAGCCAACCTGTTCTTGTTTTTGTTTTTAATTATTCAGATAGACCTGGATTTTATTCCTGGCTCTTCTATCTGGCCGTATGAACTTAGGCAAGTAAATTTACTTCTCTGAGCCTCAGTTCTCTCAACTGTGAAATAGGAGTGACAGTGCCTTCTTCAGCTTGTTGTGAGGCATCAAAGATTGTTGGCATATAGAAGGTAGGAGTGGCCAGTGCTCCAAAGAGACTCATTTTAAGGAGTAGATTGGTATGGTGGATAGATATGTAAATAAAATAGTTACGATTCAAAAGTCTTTCCTGATTTCTCTAAGAGAATGCTTCCTTTGGGACTGAGAGGGACCAGAGGTGGTTTACCTATGGCAGTGACTTTGAGTAGAAGTTCTTCCGGTGGGATACGGGATGGGCTGGTATAGAAATGCACATGGTATAGAGAGAATAGTCAGCAGTCTGAGATTGTGTGAGGAGAGAAGGGAGGACGTGATAGGTAGGATATGAGGCCAAAAGCTGTGTCAGTACCAGACCCTGGAGGTCTTTAGCACCAGAACAAGAAGTGTGGGCCGAGGGAACCACTGAGGAGTCTGAGCAAGAAAGCAGCTTGTTCCAGGTTTAAAAAGATCATGAATGGCTTGTGGAATGGGATGGGAAAGGGGTGGGGAGGATGAAGACCAGAGAAAAGCTGCTGTCTTTTCTAGGGGAGAGAGTATGAGAGAGTTCTCAGGCAAGCTGAGAGACCGGGGGTGTGGGGAGGAAGTAGGCAAGGGCACCAGTTCTGGGGTCTGACCAGCTTGGTACAGATCTTGACTTCCTTTTCCAGTCTTGGGTAAGAAACTTCATTTTTCTGAGCCTCAGTTTCTCCATCTGTAAAGTGGAATTGGTGTGGTTAGCTTGCAGTGAGATGCCCCAGAATGTTAGCCAAAATACAGGTGGCTAAGGGGATGTTGACTGGGTCAGTTGCAAACCCTACTAACACATTTTTTTTTGTTAATGACCCACGACTACAGGTAAACCCAACATCAGCATCAGTGTGCTGATAGAATTCTGTTTCCTGTTTTTTCACTTAACTTCTTGTTGTGAGTACTTTTCCATGTTATTACAGTCTCCCTCCCCAGCACAGCTAACTCCTACAGGTCATTCTAATGAGCTGGAAATGTGCCTTTGGTGGGACAGGGCCCTGGACACAATGAACTGGCTGCCAACCTGGCCAGGGGTACAAGCTGTCTACCGGAAACAGTGGGTACTTGTCATATCCCACACCCCTTAACCCATCAGCTCTGCATACTTAACATCCCTTATTGGTTGGCTCCCACACACTTCAGACTTAACAAAAACACCTGGCAAAATGGACCTCTAGGTCTCGTCTCTCCTGTCTGTCCCACAGTGTTCTCCATCTCCCTAACTGGAAGTCTGCCACCTACCTAGTCCAGTAAGCCAAAGCCTGGGAGTCCTTGTATTTGGCCAAGTTCATAGGGGGATCAGGGAGGCCTGCCCAGGATCCCCTGGATTTTTCAGGATGAAAATGTCATTCCAGGTTCCTCCCTCTCCCTTATTCCCTGCGCGTAACCAACAGGCAAATCAAGCCTGTCTCCTAAGTTAATCTGTTTTGTCTACTTTTCTCTCTTACTTCAAACCAGATCAGTCACCAGCTTCTCTCATTTGGGTGCCTGCAGTTGTCTCCTCTTCCAATCCATTCCATTTTCTTTACAGTATTCAGAAGACATTTTTCTCCTTAAACCTTTTCAGTTTCCATACAAGGCCTTGTATGACCAGCCCTTGCTTCCCTCGTGCCATTGACCTGGCACTGTGCAGCTGTGACCCCGCTGGCCTCCCCGGATCCTTAAGCACATCACATGCTTTTGTCCAGGTCTTCCCCGGCTGGTATTTCAAGTCTTAGCTCAAATGTTACTTATCTGACCTATATCTCCTCTCCCATCCCAGTTACTCTCTTTTTTTGTTAATTGTGGTAAAATATACATAACACAAAATTTACCATTTTAACCATTTTTAATTATATGTAGTTCAGTGGCATTAAGTACATTTACATTGTTGTGCCCCAAATTATTTCTTACCACATCACCTTGCCTATTCTTCATACAGCGCCATCTGTAATACCAGTGTGTGTGTCTCTTTCCCACTAGAACGTAAGCTCCATGAGAACAGGGAGAGGATTCGTTTTCCTTTTTCTGTTCTCCACCTGGCCCAAAGCCAAGGGGTGGTTAGAGGCACTCAGTAAATATTTGTGGAATGAATGAGTAAATGCTGCCATGTATTAAGCACTTACTGTGTGCTTGGCACTGGAAAGCCCTCTACAAACAACTCACTCAGTCTTGACAGCAGCCCTGGAAGTAGTCATTGTGTCCCTTTTTACAGGTGAGGATACAGCTCAGAGAGGTTAACCGTGGTCACAGAAGCAGGGGTGGGCAAGCCAGGCTCTGGCAGATGAACCCAGTTCCCTTGACTCCCAGAGTGTGCATTTCTAGTGTGGGAAGAGGGATCTCAGAGAGGCTGATTGGTTCCACCCTGGGAGAATAAAAGTTGGGTGAGACACAGAACTGCCACGTCATCAGAGTGAGAACTGGGCCCGTCACAGCCTGTAGAAGAAGCTCCACCTGCAGAGGCTCGACCCGCACAGGCTTGGCACTCTAGGCCTTTGGCTGCTTCCTTGTCTTTAGTACTTTGTTCTCCCCCAGGAGAGTCAGCAGAACTGTGCTCAGAAGTGCAGAGGCCACTGACCTTGTGTTTGTGTACCATGGGAGCTGGAGAGGCTGGGTCTCTAGGACCTCCTGGAAGGAAGAAGGGAGGGGGTGCTCTTTCGGGCCACACTGGAGCCTGAGAAGGGCTCTTGGGGTTCTCTTTCCATTTGTAGCCTTGGGTAGAAGCCTCCACCCCTTTTCTGTAAAACGGAGGAGAGATGGGTTAGCTTAGATGAGAGCTGTGCCTGAGCATTTCCCGGGACAGGTTCCTGCTGTTATACACCAGTATTGATTTATTGAGCACTTACTATGTAATCACTTTTACAGTGTTAGTTCATTTAATCCTCCACATTACAACAGGGTGTAGGTGCTATTATTATCCCTTTTTTGCTGAGGAGGAAACTGAATCATGAAGAAATTAAATGATTTTGGTCAAACAGCTAGAAAGTAGCTGAGCACATGTTCTGGCCCCTCTTAACCATGACTCTACCGTTTGTATCTGGATAGCTGTGAATTGCCCTGACCCTAGCCATCCATTCCAGAGGGTTCACAATTTAGAATTTGGGAGCCCCAAGTTTAAACAACTTAACTGTCTTTCATAACCTTAAAGACCAGGGCTCAATAAAGGTTTATTTCCAGAGCTGCATATGTGGAGGAAAAAAGGCTTTGGACACAATTTGGGCTGGACTGGAATTGTTAGAGCCAGGAGGAATGTCTGTTCTCAGCAGCCTTGGGGAGGTAGTAGCAGTTAAAGGAGAAAAGGGGCTCAGGGCTGAGGCCCCTGGATCATCCCCTTCTTGTCACCTGTAGATGATTTCCTTTTCCCATGTTGTAACACCTCTTGTTTGTACGTTAGTGTGTGTGTATATACATTGTTTGTCTCTTGTTGGACTGTTTAGAGGAAAGCCAGGCTCCTCCCAGGAGTGGTGGCATTTTGGATCAAAGGGTACAAATGGTTTGGTTTAGTTTGGTTTTATTTAATGAAAGTAGCTTTTTTTTTTGCATGTGGTTTGATTATAACAGTGATGCATCACTAGGGTTACTAGTGGTTGTGTTAGGGTTGGGAGGAGTTATGAGGGATATTTCACTTAACGTTCTTCAGTGTTTTAATTTTCTATATTAAAAAAAAATGTTGCCCCATGGATGGCGGACCTGCCAGCACCATGGATGTAGCTGCCCTGCTGCACCCGTGACGTCGGGGCACAGAGGAAGCAGCTATTTCTACACTCAGTGCTCAGAACAGTGGGCATTAAGAATGGTTTGTAGCCGGACAGTACGATTTTCTTCTTCCATAGAGTAAGGCTCGTTGTGAGGGTTAAATGAGATGTATGAGCACGTAGCAAGCTTCGGGCACAGTGGGATTGACTCAGAGAGGGTCTCCTTTAGTCATTCAGTAGGTCTGTCTGGGGGAGACTTTGTAGAAGAAAGCGTTGGGCAGGTGTGACCTGCTTGCCTGCCTGAGAGCTGCTGAGCCGGTATCAGTGGCCTGTGTCCTGTCCAGACCCGTTACTCCCTGTGTGGGGTCTGGAGCCACCTGGTCTATGAGCACTTGTGCTATGAGGACCCTTGACAAGGAGCAAGAGACGGTTTGGTCATTCTGGAAGGAGCGCCAAAGGGTTGCTCCTGGCATTGGCCCTGTGGGTGAGGCAGAGGTCAGACCCCTGTGTGGAACCCGTCGATGGGCCAATGATCATCCAGACCAGGGCCCTGAAGGGGAAGAGGGGACTGTGGCCCCCTGTCAGGTGGAGGGCTCAGTTTACTGTTGAGGGTCGAACAAAAGCTGTAGGTGACGCTCTCAACCAGTGTGTCCCTCCCAGGGCATGTGGCAGTGGGCGGGGGGGGGGTCCCCGTGCTGGTGAGCCTGAGGTTGACAAACCTGCTGTAGAAAAACATGGTTTGGGGGGATTCACTGATGAGATTCCATGTCTCAGGGAAAAAAAAAAATGTAACGTTCCTTGTATCTTAGATAGTATAATAAGATACAAAGAAAAAAGTAAAAGTTGTCCATAATCCCGAAATTTCCCGGAGGTTACTTTTATTAATATTGAATATGTTTTCCTCCACACATTTTTTATATGTATGCTTCCCCCCCACAAATAGGATGGTGGGCTGTTTTTCAGTCTGCTTATATTATTTGGCAATGATTCAATATGTAAATCTCTGAAAACATCACTTTTAATGGCTTTCTACTGTTTTATCATCAATATACTACATATTACCTAGCCAGCCTCCCAAGTGCATGGGTTGCTCCATTTTTTTTTTATTATTAAGAAGAATACAGCAGAGAATATTTGTGGAAGTTAATCTTTAGGTATATTTATTATTTGGTTCTCAGATAAATTCTGAGAAGTGGAATTGCTGGGAATTTCTTCTCACCTCTTTTAAAGTTTTTGATAAATATTGCCTAATTAGAGCAGGAAAATGATTGCCATTTTTGCCTGTTTTTTTCAGGACAGGAAGATGCCACCCAAGCGTATAGCTAAGAGAAGGTCACCCCCAGAAGATGCCCTCCCGAAAAGCAAGAAGGTGAAGGGTAAGTTGGCTTTAGCCTCTATCTCAGTATGGGTGGCCTCCTGGTGCCCCCAGAATCTGGGACTGGGCTCCTTCCTGAGGGGTCTGGAAGTCCAGGAACTCCACCCAGCTGGAGGGTCGCCTGTAGGTCATTGAATCCCACCTTCTGGGAATTATAACAGTGCAGAGACTTGCCTAAAAGCACTCAGGTACTGGCCAAAAAACTAGACCCTAGGGCTTTGCCCCAGGCAATAATACATATGGTTAAGACCACTGACCTCCAGACTGGGTTCAAGTCCTGGCTCTGCCACTTTCTAACTGTGTAGCTTTGGTCAAATCACTGACCTCACTGAGCTTAGACTACCCCGTTCATAAAATGGGCAACCTCACTGGGCTGTTGTGAGGAAAGTGAGACAGTGTCCTGGTAGCACTCCAGGGAGCTGGCTGTGGTTTCCTCTCTGTTGGGACCCTGGAGGGAGTCAGGGAGGAGAGAGAGCCACGCCTAATCTGGGAGGGGGGAATGTGGACCCACTCTCAGACAGTGTCTGTCTTTTGCAGACTCTCGTAACCAGGCAGCGAGGGCCGTTGCCTCCCGCCGCATTCCAGGCGCCCGCTCCTGCCAAGGTGCCTGTGGGCAGAGCCCTCCTGACCAGAAAGCCCGACCAGGTGGCTGCCTGCCCAGCGAGCCCTCTGCGCAGTCGGGGCAGCTGTGGCCACACCCCCAGAGGGAGGGCCTGGATGCCATTGGCTGTCGGGGCCACGGGCGCCGTCATTGGCCAGCAGATGGCCCTGTGCCACGCACCTGTTGGCATGTACCTCTCCTCAAATGTCTGTGCGGTGTCTTAGGCCTGCCAGTTCCTCTTCAGCTGCTTGTCTGCTCCCAGATAGGAGCACAGTGAGGGTCACTGTTCGTGACCAGAGGTTAAGTCACAACCTGAGGATGGAGGCTAGGGACTGTGCCCTGAACACACAGGCTTCACTGCAAACTCTTCTGCTAGTTATTAGCTCTGACCCTGGAGTGGTTACTTAACCTCTCTTGAGGCTCTATTCCCTTTCCTATAAAATGGGATCCTAAATATGGAAGGTCTGTAACAATGTGCAAAGCAATTCAACATTAGTAGAGTAAGCAGTCAGTAAAGGGGTAGACGTTATTATGCCCTCACTGTTGTCACCGTGTTTCTGACCAAGACCTTACAGCCAATCAAGGAAAGTATCTTACGTCCTCACTGTTCTTTTTCTCTCCCCACTAAGATTTATTTCACAATATCCAGTATCTCATTGTTTCCATTTCCTTCCACTCACATTAATAATATGCTTTGTTTTTCATCTTCACAAAAACCCTATGAGATAGGTACTTTTGTTATCCTCATTTCTCAGATGAGGAAACTTAGGCTTGGAAAGGTCAGGCTAATGGTCTGTGGCAGAGCAGGGGCTTGAACCCAGGTCTGTGTGATCCCAGAGCCCATGCAGAGACCTCTCCTCTCCTGTCATCCTACACACTCAGGGGCTGTCTTCTTCACCCCTCAGTCTCACATAGGTCCCACAGCACAGAACCAGGCTTGGTGCTGACACTGGGCCAGGGCGATGTGGGCCAGCTGGGGCTAGGCGAGAATGTGATGGAGAGGAAGAAGCCAGCCCTGGTGCCCATTCCAGAAGACATCGTGCAGGCTGAAGCTGGGGGCATGCACACCGTGTGTCTAAGCAAAAGTGGTCAGGTAAGTTGAGGGTGGCACAGGATGGGACAGGGCCTGGGCATGGGGGCTTGGGGAAGAGCTTTGAGCCACATTCTGTGGAGATGGAGCTGGCTAGATGAGCAGGGAGTGGCTTAAACAAGAGTGGACTGAGAGGCCAGACCTTGCACTAACGGGGCCATCCTGGACATAGGTCTACTCCTTCGGCTGCAATGATGAGGGTGCCCTGGGAAGGGACACATCAGCAGAGGGCTCAGAGATGGTCCCCGGGAAAGTGGAACTGCAAGAGAAGGTGGTGCAGGTGTCAGCAGGAGACAGTCACACAGCGGCCCTCACCGAGGACGGCCGAGTCTTCCTGTGGGGCTCCTTCCGGGTAAGACTGGGTCTGGAGAACTGCATGGGGGCTGGCAAGCAGAATGAACTGGTGGGACCCCAAAGATAACTCAGCTCCACAGCCCTGTTGTACTTACTGGTGGGGAAATCAAGGCCCTGGGCAGAGCTCAGGCCCAGACCCAGGTCTTTGGCTTCTTCTTCTAGGCCTGTCCACACCACTGGCTGTTTGCTTGATGCTGATGTTATGAAGTATGTGTCTTGGGAAAGGGGTGGGTCAGCGATGCCTTTGGGCTGAGGCTGAGCCAGGAAGCCTGCTGTCCTCACCCATCTCCCTACTTTTAACTTCCCCCTTCCCCTTCCCACCCCTCTTCCACACTTCTCGGGGGTTTGGGGGCATATCACAGAATTTCCAAGACAGGAGAGTGGTTTTAAAAGGAGATTCAGCATTAAAATTGCTTTGATACTTCAGTATTCAATTTATTTTGGCATGTTAAACATAAAGGAATCTGATGTTTCCTTGTTGGGGCTATTTTTACTTTTTTTAATGGAGTATTTCAAACACATAAAAATAATTAGAATAATATATTGAACTCCATTTAGAATAATATGTTGAACTCACTTCAACAATTATCAGCTTGTGGCTAAACTTGTTTCTTTTTCACTCCCATCTCATCCCCAACTCCTTTGTTATTTTAATGCAAATCACAGAGTACTATGTGGCCTGGCTCCTGCCCACCTCTCCATCCCTACCTGGCACCAGTGCCCTTCACCAGACAGCTTTGTGGCTGCCTGCAAAGCTGGATCTGGCTGGTACTAGGCAGATAGGACAGGCTGAAAACTGTTCATCCCTCCCTTGCAGGACAACAACGGTGTGATCGGGCTCTTGGAGCCCATGAAAAAGAGCATGGTGCCTGTGCAGGTGCAGCTGAGCACGCCGGTGATGAAGGTGGCCTCAGGTGAGTCTGGGCAGTAGTTGGAGAACCTTATTCTGGGGCTGGCCCAGCCTTGGGCCTTACAGACAAGCCTTGCATCCCCTGCCTTCTCTCACCCTCAGGAAACGACCACTTGGTGATGCTGACAGCTGATGGCGACCTCTATACTTTGGGCTGTGGAGAGCAGGGCCAGCTGGGCCGTGTGCCTGAATTGTTTGCCAATCGTGGTGGCCGGCAGGGCCTTGGTAGGTGGCTTAGGTCCCTTTGGTGGGGCAAGTTGGCAGGCCACCCCCTGGTGAAGCTCAAGGGCAGAAGGGATTTTCTGTGTTCAGGCTTGTATCAGGTAGACCTGTGGCGGTAGTTGAGAACTCTGACTCTAGAGCCGGACTAGCCCAGGTTTGAATCCTGACTCTACCACCCACTGGCTAGGGGACCCTAGACATAGTTTCCTCATCTCATTGGGTTGTTGTGAAGTTAGATGAGTTAACACAGAAGAATGTTGGGCACATGGTAAGTTCCATGTAAATGTTAAGCTCTTATGGTTGTGGGAGTCTGAATGGACTCTCTTGGCCTCAGTTTCCTCTTCTGTGTAAGAGGGAGAAGAGTCTCTGCTCAGTCTCCCTGCGAGGGCTTTTGAGTGGAGGAGAAAGAGCTGGGGCCTAGAGGAGAGGCCATGTGTGTTTGCCGTTGACCTGAGCCTTCTCTCTGCCTGCAGAACGACTCCTGGTCCCCAAGTGTGTGATGCTGAAATCCAGGGGAAGCCGGGGCCATGTCAGATTCCAGGATGCCTTCTGTGGCGCCTACTTCACCTTTGCCATCTCCTCTGAGGGCCATGTATATGGCTTTGGCCTCTCCAACTACCATCAGCTTGGTGAGTCGCAAGCCCAGCACCCAATGTAGCCCAGAGTGACCTGAGTTCCAATCCTGCCTCCACCACTCATTGTTGTGCCCCCTTGGTGAGGTCACCTAATTTCCAGAGCCCCAGTTTTGTCATCTGTGAAATAAGAATGTGAATACCCTGGTGCAGGGCGGGTGGCCACACTGTGGGAGGGGATGAAGGACAGCTCCTTGGACACCTTCCCCCCTTGACAGCTCTATCCGGGCCTTTCTCCCCAGGAACCCCAGGCACAGAATCTTGCTTTGTACCTCAGAACCTGACATCCTTCAAGAACTCCACCAAGTCCTGGGTGGGCTTCTCTGGTGGCCAGCACCATACTGTCTGCATGGATTCAGAAGGTGGGACCTCCAGGCCCATTTCTGGGTCGGGGGTGGAGTGTTCCCTGGGCACAGACCTGGCCACACTCCTGAGTGATGGTTCTTGGAACCTGGGCCTGCTCCAAGGGTTGGACTAGCTGTGGGTCTGTGAGGGTCACCCCCATCCCTCAGCATTCTGGTGCTCTTCCAAATATGAGCAATAGGGGTCTATGGGTTGTTTTCCCAGGCCTCTCCCAAAACTGAAAGAGACACTGCAGACCTTCTCACCACCCTGGGAACGGGGGACCAGTTCCCATGGATGTGGGCACTCACCTGGCCTACCGGGAGCACGTCCTCTGCTACTCCTCTCTCCCTCTTCCCACAGGAAGAGCGTACAGCCTGGGCCGGGCTGAGTATGGGCGACTGGGCCTTGGGGAGGGCGCTGAGGAGAAGAGCATACCCACCCTCATCTCCAGGCTGCCCCCTGTCTCCTCAGTGGCTTGTGGGGCCTCTGTGGGATATGCTGTGACCAAGGATGGTGAGTGGGGCTGCCCGCAGTCAGTCTGGTTGGGGTCTGAGGGTTGTGATTCAGGCTCTGATATGATGGAGCTGAGATACGGAGAGCGGTGCTTGTGATGACATTGCTTTCATCCTGATTGTCAGGAGCTCTGGCTTTGATGACGTTACATGAGTAAACAGATTGTTTTAATAGAGATGATTTGTTCTGTAGAGGAGGAAAACAGCAAAGGGGGATATATCACTGAGGACCAGACAGACAGTAGGACTTGAACCCAGGTCTCCCGACTCCTAACTCAGGCTTCTCTTTACATTTTCTACCACGGTGACCCTTTTACTTACAACCTAGTAGGTGCCAACTTCCCCAGGGAGTTGTACTTAGAATTTTATTAGGAGAAAGAAGGCTTAGTAGTTGGGGTCCTGGCAGGCACAGCAGAGATCTGGACAATTGATTGCTAAAGCCTGAGTGGAACAGCCATGGGACCTTGAGAAGTCAGACTGGCAGAGGTCCTTGAACAGGGATTATCTGGGAAGAATTCCTGAGGAAGTGGGGCTTGTCCTGCACCTCGAAGGTTCAGTCCTTTATGATAAGCAAAGGAGGGCATCCCGGGTCCAGAATATCCAGAGTATCAAAGGCAGTGGTCCTGGGAATGGAGGGTGCTAAGGGGGTTTGGAGAATAGCCAGTCATTGTTGGGCCTTGAATGCCATGCCTAGGAGCAGGGAGAAGTCTTTGGCAATGTGTAAGGACTGTGGTCTCTGGTTGACAAAGGTCTTCTTTATCCGTCACCCCCTTGTCTTCTCCCAGCATCACTGAATGCTGGGAAGGGTAGAGCTCGGGACCCTGGAGACAGCTGCCCCCATTTCTCTCCTTTGTAGGACGTGTTTTTGCCTGGGGCATGGGCACCAACTACCAGCTGGGCACAGGACAGGAAGAGGATGCATGGAGCCCTGTGGAGATGACAGGCAAGCAGCTGGAGAACCGCGTGGTCTTATCTGTGTCCAGCGGAGGCCAGCACACAGTCTTACTAGTCAAGGACAAGGAGCAGAGCTGATGAAGCCTCTGAGGGCCTGGTTGCCGGCCCCTACCTCCCTCCCAGAACAGGGAAGCTGCGATGACTGCGTATCCCAGCAGACCTCCCCCAGCCCCAAGCACTCTGTCATCTCCTGCTTTTTTCCCTAGAGCAGAACAGAATCCTTTTCCTCCTCTTTTTTTTCCCCTCCTTTCTGGGATCATCCTGGGACCTACAGGATGAGGGTGGGAGATATGGCAGAGGGGAGGGAGTTTTGTCAGAAGGAATATTGCTCACCCCACAGCTATGTGGTTAGACCTTTCCCCCTCATCCCTACCTCCCTTGGTCCTGGCTGACCCTGGTTTTGCCTACCAAAAACCAAAACTTCCTCTGCTGGGTGTTTGGTGCCCATACCCTGAGGAGTTGGGGCTCCTTCAAGCCCTCTCTAGTAGTCGTGTGCCACTCTTCCTGTCCTTCACAGCCCACAGGCAGACAAATGGTACAGTCGTCAGACCCAGTTGTCATGGACCTATGCCTGGGGGAAACTGGAGAAGGGGCAGGGCTACCCAGCCATGGGCAACCCCAAGCCAAATGTTTGGCCTTGAACAGGTGCCCATGAGGCAAACAAAAAAAAGATTCTCGACTTGATAAGAAAAAGCCAATCAGCCTTTCTCCCAGAAGCACAAAGCATTCTTCCCTTCAAACATTGACTGCAGTATCTCACCCATCCAACCTGAGTCACCTGCAGCCAAGGGCCTGAAATCTGGAAAGAAAGCTACGCCTGCAGGAGAGGACCTTGGGAGAGAGGGAAGGAGTGCTTTATAAATAAACCTATAGCAATACTGAGAGTGAAGTGAGGGAGGGAGGGAGGGAGGGGAAGAGGGCTAGAGGGGCAGAGGCTGGTCCCCAGAAAGGGAAGCAGCAGCTTGTACAGTGGCTAAAAAAATAGAAAAGAGTTTTGAATTTTTTTTTAATGTAAAGTATTTTGGAGGGAAGAGTGAAATCTTTTAACACTTTGAATAAATTTAGAGTTTTATAAAACAGGCCACTTGTTTTCTACACACTCCCTGCTTTTTTAAGGGAGTACCTGCTGTATTGGAAAGGGCAGAATAAATCTATGCCTGTGGACCTGGTGAAGACTAGGAATTAAGTGATGTTGAGAGGTCCTGGTGTGTGCCAGTCAGCTGTGTTTTTATATGGAACAGTGGCTTTTCTAGACAAATCAAGAAAGAAAAGAAGAATTGATTGACTTTTGTTTAGGTATTTATGGTTTATGAATCACTGGATTAAAAAAAAATTATACTATATAATGAGAGACACGGGATAGATCTTTTAATATCCTAATCCCAAACCAAGATTTTTGAGTACGGTACATCTCTAAAAACACTTTTACAAAGTTTGATGATGTATCATTTCAGCAGCTGGTGTAACTGATTAAACATGATTAACTGCACAGTAACTCTTAAGACAACTTAAGCATAATGATGTAGATTTTCACAGGCAAGATTTTCATTTGAGCAAGCAAATCATAAAGAGCTGACGTGTCCAGTGTGATGGTCACTAGCCACATGTGGCTATTTACAGTTAATTTAAATTTGTAAAAAATATAAAATGAATTTCCTTGGCTGCACTAGCCACATTTCAGGTCCTCAGTAGTCAAATGTGACTAGTGCCTATAGTATTGGGCTATGCAATTACAGAAATATATAGAACATTTCTATAATTGCAGAAAGTTGTAGTGGACAGTGCTGATTTCTGTAGAAGGTCTGTATATGTACAGCAGGCAAGTTTTATTAGTGCCAGGAAGATTTTTGGATGTCAGTGGCTCTTGAAAAAATGAATATGATGTAAAATAATTTAAAATGTATCCTGTGATTGTTTTTTTCTTGAAGTTTTAGTTTTGATGCAGGTACTGTACTGATTAGAAGTTGACTTCTTAGAAGGGGGAAAAAATCACACTTCTGATTTTAATTTTTCTTTGTAAAAGAGCACTTGTCTGTCTGTTCTTCCCTGACGCCTACTCCCCCAAAAAATCCATTTGGCTTAGATATACTGAAATTTTCCCTTTGACAATATAGCAGGTTGAAAGTACCCTATCCTTAATAACAGCCCTTGTGGGTTGGGACTTAAAACCAGGCATTGTGCTGAGCACTTTACATACTGTAATAGCCCATTAAATCCTCACATCAGCCCTGTGAAATAGGAATTGCTGTCCCTCAGGAAATAGTCCCTGAGAGTTCAAGTGACTCATTTGAGGCCCAGAAACTACCAAGTGCACAGACTAGGCTGGAATTTAAATCAGCCTCCACCCAAGACCAGAACTTCAATTCCTTTTCCTTGTATTGCACGTAAGAGTTATAAAGCTCTCTGTAGGTGCTTTACATGTATTAGAACAGTGTCAGGCACATAGTAAATGCTCTGTACGTCTCTGCTATTATGACTATTGCACATTTTTTACTCCCCTGTGTTTAATAACTGCCTTGTTTTTCACATGCTTAGTTTTTTGGTATAAGTATCATTAATTCATTGCCAATGTCTCAGGAGCTTTTTTGTGTTCAAACACAGGTACTCTCAATTTTATGATTTCCCCTATCCTCCAACCTGGATTGGTTACCGCAGGCAAATGTAATCAACCCCATGTGGCTCAGCTATAAATAATATTTACAAAGTCATAATAATGTAAATGTTCAATATTGTTTTGGCAGAAATTATGATCAGAAGATGGAAAACTGTGTATGAGGGGCAGTCCCTCAAATATCTGTAGCTACAAATGAGAAATGTTACTTAAAAATATGCAAATTTTAGGGGGAAGATTTGGAAGTTTGCTTCAAGGGACTAGGAGTTGGGAGTAGGGATAGATGGGGGTAAGGGACAGCTGTTTATTGATTGTGACATAAATTCAATTTTTTTTTTCAGTTTCTACCCTGTTCCCAATACTGTTTTGGGAATTTGATTAGAAACAAAGTGAACAAGGAATCCTTTCTGATGAAGCTTACATTCTAAATTAAAAATAAATAATTTGAAAGTCTTCCACAAGTAAAATCAATTAAAAAAATAGTAAACAAAGAGCAAAGCACACGGGCTGGCAAATAGTATTAAGTAAATTGTTCTCAGTTATAACTTGAATGCCTTCAACTGCCATGTTGGACAACTTACTGGATGCCAAGCTTTGGGCCAAGTGCTTTCCCAACTTCTCATTTTCTCTTCACAACAAACATGGTATGAGGTAAGCACTGCTATTACCCACATTTAAACTCAGAGAGTTTAAATAACTTGCCAAAATAATTAAAGGGGACTGGGATTTGGGCTCCCATTTGTTCAAATCTATAGCCAAAGCACCTAACCACTACACTACTACTGCAGTGAATCAGATAAAGCTGGAAATTTGGCACTTCATGGTTGGATCTCAAGACCATGGTTAGGTCTTAGACCGTAAGTGGTTGACTTTGGGGCCCAACACCCCAAGCTTGGGATGTGTAAACTGACGTGGAAGGGCATTACTGGCCCATTAGCGCAAAGGGAGCCCAGGAAACGGGTCCTCAAGCATTTGGGAGGGGCTTCACTGTCGGAGATGACAATCACCTAGGGAAGCTTCACATTCTGAGAAATGGGCATCAAACAGGGACACCCGGACTAGGAAGTCAAACCGTCTGGGTTATCTAATCATCAAATCGTGTTTACTAAGGGCCTTCGATGGCAGGTCACTGTTCTGGGACTGACGAGCTCCTGGAGGTTTGGGTCCGTGCAAGGAGATGGGATGCATGAAAGAGTAACAAGGCTTGGGGACTGATTAGTTGAGGTGATAGAATTTACCCTCCCTTTAACCCTCCCCTCCCCGCGTCCTAAGGCTATACACGGGAATGATGGAAGAACCCCATTCCAGCTTCAACAGAAATCACACATAAGCCTTGCAAACTGGGAAACGCGGGGTGAAGGGGTGGCTGGGATGGACCGGTCAGTCAGTAAACTGCTCGAGGGCACACAGTGAAACTGGATCGTTCAGGCTCCCAAAGGGGATCTTTCACTTTTTTTTTAAATGTGCTTATATTTGCCATTTTTTACAATGAGCATATACTACTTTTGTAATTTTATATGTACGTGTGTGTTTAAATAAAGTCAGAAAGAAACTTGAGAAAGCCAATCAGCCGCGCCACCCAAGGTCCAGCGCGAGGCGGCGCCCGCCCCGCCCCACCCCGCTGGCCCCCGTCTGAGCCCCGCC